TTAGTCAGACATGCGTATTGATAATAGAACCAGAAACAGTTAAGAGACAATGAACAAGTACCCAAGTGATATGCTCGAACTGCAAATAGCCCTTGTCGCCAAAATTAAATTCGGTTTCAGCATCATTGACAACAAGAACATTCTCCAACCTAATACCAAAGTTACCATCTTCATAGTAACCAGGTTCTGCAAAAAAGGAAAAAAAGGTTTTATTAGAATATGAGGTTAACCGAAGAGGCGAAATATCTAGGTTCTTTTGTAGACGGACCATCTGTTACAGTCATGGTAGCTTGGAGAGGTACATTCCTAGCACTTGGTCTGAAACTAACTTGGTGAGGTCCTACATATTACAAGCATAATCGTTGCAAAAAGTTAATCGAAGATATTTGGAATTTCATAAAGTTTATTATCTATAAGAAAAGTGTTTCTCATCACTTGCCTTCATGAACGAAAAGGTAAGAGCCGACTCCATGACCAGTACCATGTCGATAATCCAAGCCATACTTCCACAAAGGAGCTCGAGCAAGAATATCAAGCGTATAACCTGAAATTTCGAACATAGCCAATTTGATACATTACAGATCAATAGCAAATTACTCTTCTTTTAAAGCAAAATCTCAAGTTGGAACGAAAATAAAATAAACAAGATCATAGATTACCGTTTGTTCCTTTAGGAAACCGAGCATTTCCAAGAGCAACATGACCCTTGAGCACCTAAGATGCAAAACATAAAATAAAAAGTCTTTCTCATTAGTTACTCTGAATAAATAAGGAAATCATTTTTTTGAAAGTTATCATCAATGAATACATACCGCAGTATAACATTCTTTTTCATGAGCTGAAGGCTTTCCAAAGTGAACCGTTCGGGTAATATCAGTTGTTCCATCGAGATACTTTGCACAAAAACATCAATATAATTGTATTCAGAGCAAAGACATTAAACTAGATTTATAGGAGTCTTATAGTTTATAGTCAATCATGTGATATTAACCTGAGCTCCTGAATCACATAAGTAAATTTTGTCGGGATCCATCTCGGCACAAATTTCTGGCTCCGGTGAATAATGTATAATCGCAGCGTTCGAACCAACCGATGATATAGTAGGGAAGCTTAAACCTCTAAAATGCTGCAACCACATGAAAAACAAGAGAAGAAATGTAATTCACCTAAACATTGATTTTGAAAGAAAGTATTAAACTATTACTTAAACTATTTTAATACTTTACGAATGAACGAAAAAAGAATTTCTTAACTTTGTTAAGATGTTTTATGTAAACTTTACCTCTTTCGCAGCTCGTAGACTTTCCAGCTTATCGCTCACGGTCAATTCAGTAAGCTTAGAGGTCTCCCTGGTTTGTTTATGTTTCCCAAAGAAAAACTCATTACTTCATGAAATACGGAAAAAATGTTTTGCAAAACAAATAAGAACGATGCTTACGTTGGTTTCTTTTTGTTTGCTTTTGCTTCCAAAAAGTATCCAGATGCTCCATAGTGCTCTTGCATCTGTGGTTTGACAAAGACAATTGTACATGAGAGAATCATCGATATAGTATTGTTCAAGATTTCTGAATTATTAGTTTCTATGTCTATTCAATACCTGTTTATCGAGCCAAACAAGGTACTGCACAACAGCTGCACCATCACGAACATGTGCCTTCTTGAGTCCTTCGAGCTCAACCGGGTTCTAACATAAAGGAGAGAAATCAATATATACCTAAAACGTAACACGTCAAAGACGTTAAGAGAGGTCACTTGCACTAATATACCTTCAAGGCTTTTGAGAGGGACAGAGGAGATGGTTGCAAAAGGACCTTATCGGCATCCAATTTGGAATAAAGCGCATAGCAGCACGAAGCAGGGTCCACCCATAACCGATCAATTTGATCAGAATCAATCTCCATGTCCTTTGTACCTTCGGGTTGAACTATTTTAGAGGAAAATGAAGATGAAAGTTGATTCGAAGCAAGCAAAGCCACATCTGAGATCACATCTGTGTACTCCCGGACTTCTACACCGAGCCCTTTGAAATAAGCGTTTGTCTATATATTACAAAACAGAAATATCATAAGTTACCGAATACGCTATAGCGCAAACATGCGTTGTTACTGAAACAAAAATTGAAAGCCTAACCTCATCAGATACTTTCTTTTTATCCACGTAGAGGAACACAGAGTCGATTGTAACAATTGCAAACGCATGAACAACCGGACAATAAGCAACATCAGTTCCACGGATATTGTATAACCAAGCAACCTGCATTAACCAGTGCAAACACGACAATCAGTACATTCCAGAGAAAATTGAGAACAAAGAGATCATTTCCTAATATCACACCTCATCAAGAGCAGCGATGACCAAACCACGCGCACCCTCTTGCTTAAGCTTTGCCCTCAAAACTTCCAACTTTTCGGAAACAGAACGGCCAGCGAATTCCAACGGATGAACAACAACCGAACTCATCTCAGAAGCCGGACGATTCTTCCAAACTTCATCCACAAGATCAATTGTCGTCGGGATAAGCTTCTGTTCCTTCTTAGCAAAAGATTTTACCCATCCATTCGCGGTATCTACCGAAACACACCATGGATCAACACCAATATTCGCTTCTTCAGGTAGATTCTACATTGTCCCCAACACAC